GGGGATCCTGCGCTGGGACGGTGCCGGTGGGGGTTCGGGGAGTTCTATACCCATGCCAACCCCGAGGACAGAGGGGGTTTGCTGCCCTGGCTCTGCCTCTGGAGCTTCAGCGTGTCTTGCTCTGCTTGCTGGTGACACCGCGACGAGCAGGGACCAAAAAAAGCTGCGAGAGATCAGCGGGTCTGGGATGTGTCCTGTGATCCAGCTGCAGACTGGGTCCGGGAAAAGTCACGGAGTCCCGTCGGTGGCTTTGCAGCTCCACGTGCTTAGTTACCTGCAAAAAACCCCACAAAACAACAGGCAAAGGGGAAAAAAGTAGGGTTTGGACTAAAAGTCTCCTCTCTTTGGGGCTGCATGGTGTTTGGTTGCAGGCTGGGAGATGCTGGGGGTTGATAGGTCCCACTCAGGGATGCGGGGGGGTCTCGGAGTTGGTGGGCAAGTGGGATTGAGCAGGGAGGGCTGGAACACCAGTGTTTCCTTTGGGCAGGATGGAGTGAAAAGCCTTGACTTGGGAATCTGGTGTGAGGGGAATTCGCTGTGGATTTAACCAGGAATCCTGGACTGGTTTGTAGAAGCGGTGTTTGAGCCACTAAAGTCTCTTCGGAAGTCAGATGTGGTCCTGGGGGAAACTTGCTTCTTCTGGCAGCTCCCAGGGGATGGGGAAGGAGGAAACCCCACAGGCAGAGGAGCTCTGGGTTCCTCCTGCCCTGTCCGGGTGTGAAGATATGCTCAACAAGTGTCCAAGCAGAGAGCTGCTGTCAGCAGGTGAATTACTTTCAGTAATGGGAAATCCAGGACCAGGGATGTAGGGAGCTTCTTGGCAGACCTGGATGTTTTCTAATGCCTTCCTTACTGGGACTGCAGCAGAACCACTTGCTGTTTCAGTCGTGGGGTGTGCAACTCATTGCTTTTTCTTTTCATCCATAATCAAGTGTCTTGCCTCTTATGGCAGGCAGATTTTCTGGTTAAAACTCTGTTCTCCAGGTAACAGAGGATGCATGTGGGACCTGCTGAGCTGCACAGTCTTTGCTCAATGCTTCCATTTTGCTGCCGTTCCCAGTTGCTTTGAGGGAGCAGCACTGTGCTCACAAGTGGATTTATTTCCACGCCAGCTTTTCCCTGGGGCCAGGCTGTGGTGAGCAAGGGTAGCTGCTCCAGTGTGGCAGGCACCCACGCAGGCAAAACAAGATTTTGGCTCCTCAGCTCTGGCATGGGCTTTTAGAGCCAGCCTTAGCAAATCATTAAGGGGTGGCTTGCCACACAGGGCAAATCCCTTAGAGGATGCCCGTGCTGATATCCACATCCCAAACAATTGGTGATGGAAGGGGGACCCAAAGGCAGCGCTAGATGTGAAAAATTTCTGTTATCGCTTGAGTCAGAGAGGAAAGTATTTCATTTGCAGTCCAGCAAACACCTCTTTCCACTTAATCCGTTTATGGAACAAGGCTGAGATCACCTTTGCTCTTTGCCCTTTCACTTGAAGCAGCCCAGGACGAGCTGGGGGTGAGCAGAAATCATCTAGTACTAGGCAGAGTGCCAGGAGCAGGGGTCCCTGCCGGGGGAGCTGCCCCAGCCAGAGCTGGAAAGCTTGGAAACGAAGCATGAAAACAGCTGTTTGAGGTTGGATTGTGCCAGGCAGCCGATGGCTTCAGCTCTGGGAAGAGCTGGGGAGGGCAGGGGATTTTGGGATTGCTCACTTGTTTGCATTTGGCAAATCTTTTGGGAGCTGCCTGGCTATTTGAGAGCTGGTGACCGAGCCGGCAAGTAAATGGCAGTCAGCCCTGTTTTGCGGTGGTCACGTGGGCTTTGTTTGTATTGGGATGATAAAGCTTAGGAAGCACGTTGGAAAAGCTTAGGGTCTTTTTTTTTCCTTCTTTTCTAAAAGGGAAACCCATTGTTTTGTGTGAGAGGCAGGGAGAGCCTTGCGCTTTCCTCTGCACCACCAGAACTTAAAATCCCTTCTCAAATTTCTGTCTAGAAGTAGCATTTCTCGAGGGTTAAAAATAGGGAGCGGTTTAGCAAAGGAACAGATCCAGCCTCAAAATTAGGTTGTGTTTCTTGGCTCTCAAGAAAGCACAGCAGGGTCATACTCCATTACTCACAATAGTAGTGACGTAGCTTTAAAAAACTTGTTGTTTGATGTTAGAGGACTAAGACCTGCCTCAAAACAAACTCGGCTGAACTCAGGTTAAAGAAAAACTTTCTACTTGCCATCTTATCTTTCAAGTTGTGAATAGGTTGATGGTTTTTTTTTGAAGAGGCAAATTAACTTAGCTGAAATTCCTGCCTGGCACGATGCCTTTGCTTGCTGAAAGCAGCAAGGGAGATTTACTGCTCCGCTTGGGATTTCTGTGTGCCCGTAAAAGCCTTGGGAAGCTCGGAAACTCTCTAGTAAAAGCATGTACTTGTGGTATGTTCTTTAGAACTTATATCTTAAAAATACACAGTTTTGTTTGGGGGGAATTGCTTTACACTCGTCTTGTTCGTGGCTGAGGTGGGACGTGCGGGGAGGGGGGGCAAAATGCTGTTACAGGACTGGGTGTGTTATGTAGGTTGGGGCATGAAGCCATCAGAAAAAGCTGGTAAATAGACTTCCCTTGGGAAAAATGGCTGGGAAGAGACCCCGGGAGGACACCACTAAACAGCAGCTGGCTCCTACACAGTCTGAGGGCATTTATTTCATCCGTCTGCAACTGTTTTCCTGAGAAAAACAGCTCGGTGGAGGCAACTTTGCTTAGCAGAAGTGTTTGGAGTTGACTCAGAGAACTTCCTTCAGAGCAGTTCACCCTGTCCTGGGAAGGTAGCAGAATTGCCAGCAAAGAGCCTAAAATCATAGAAATCCCCTCCAGGGACTTGTGCTTTGCCCTAGCTGAAAATGCTGGAGATGAGGCACCCGAAAGGGGTTTACTGCAGTGAAGTCCCAAATTCCTCCTGTCCAGAGATCCTTTTTATATTCCAGTCCCAGGGGGGTGGTGCAGCAGAAATAGCTCCTGCCTCTCCCCTGCTAAAAGACAAGTGGCTGAGCACTCTACTTTGTTATAAAGGTGCTGCTTGTACATATTTTGTCCTGGGACAGCCCCCAGCTCTGTCTTTCCTTGTGAAAGCTTTTACAAGAAGTCTCCTAGAGATTTAGAATTTTTTTTGAGCATCTATAAGTGAGCTGTCTTTAGTTATTAATGAAAGTGTTGGGGCTTTGCACGGTTTTGGAGGGGGGCAATTCCCGGCTGGTGGTAATAAATCTGGTGTTCTCTCTTGCAGATGATGCTGACCAAAATCAAGGTCTAAGGCCGTATGTGTTGGCAGAGTCCCACCGCCCCGAGCGAAATATGAGCACCTCTGGTCACTGGCCGCCCCGGAGCACAAAGCAGCTCCAGGAGGAGCCACCAGCCAGCTCCCTAGGACAGATTAAGTTTAACCCCACGGTGCGACACATCGTGATTAACGAGCACAGGGACGTCACGTTCAATTGCTCCATAAAAGTGCCTCAGGTGCTGCTCAGGCCGGACACTCCAAGCATTTCCTTGTGGAAGGATGGAAGGGAGCTCCACTTGCTGGACCGCATCGCCACCAGCCACTTTGAGATCTCTGATGAGGAGGAGGTGGCAATGACCTCTACCTTCAGGTAACCACTGCCATCCTTTTTGGAGGGATGCCCTGAACATTGGCTTCTGGGGAGAAATAGAAGGCTAGATGGCTAGCAAGGGCTTGGGGTTGGGTACTATGATAGGCCAATACTCGCTAGCCCCCACAGCCTGGCTTTGCAAGCCTGGCTTCTGCTCAGTGTGTGCTGTGGGGTTGGTAGTGTTTGAAACCCATCCCCAGGCTGTCAGCATCCTCCTGTGGGAGCTGTGTCTGGCCAAGGATCCTCACCAAAGCCATGACATGGTCTCCATTCTCTCTGGCAGCATCCTTGCCACGCAGCGCTCGGATAACGGCTCCTATGTCTGCAAACTCAACATCTCTGGCACGGAGGTGGTGTCAGATCCCATCTCGGTGCAGCTGGAAGGTGAGATGGAGGAGGGCTAGGGTGGATGTGCTGGAGGTGTGGAAAATTGTGTCCTGGCTGAGCAACAGTCCTGGGGACTGCAATTTGGGACCTGTAAGCTGTTGCCCAGAATCTGGGAGTCCTGGATGGGAAAGGGCATAGTCCCTGGCAGGAGAGCTTGGGGTTGTTGACAGGGCTGTATTGCTGAGCTCTTTGAATTTCATGCTTCTCTGCTTGTGTCCCCGCAGGGCTCCCACACTTCATCCGCCAGCCGGAGAAGCTGAATGTCACCAAGAACAGCCCCTTCAACCTCACGTGCCAAGCTGTGGGCCCGCCGGAGCCTGTGGAGATCTACTGGTTCCGCAACAACGTCCGCGTCAATGAGAAGCCACACATCTCCCCATCAGTCCTGACTGTGCCAGGTGAGCGAAGCAGTGGCCTTGCTGTGGCCAGTGGGGACACCCCTGTGTGGCTACCGGGAAGAGCAGGGCAGGAAGGTGTCTTGTGCCATCTCACAGCCCATCCCCTTGGCCTCAAACCTTCTGTTGTGCTGTCACAGGCCATTGCAGCCTGCCTCATCTGCTTGTGGCACCGGGCATTGCTGGCGTGTGGCTGAAAAGCTCAGCACAGATAGATTTCCCAGGAGGTTTGGCATAAAATGCAGCCCTCCAGTTGGATCCAGTGGGACACAGGGGTCCGGCTTTGCAGAAGAGGCACCCCAGAGGTACCAGTTTGCAAAAATGATTCCCAGCCTGTTACTGCTCCATCCTCAGTGCTGGGAGCATGGCTCTGCCCAGCAGGCTTGTTCAGCAGCTCCGGGGACTGCTGCAGGGAAGATTGCTTCCTTGGAACAGGTCGGACACTCCAACTGCTCTTTCCTAAGTAAGAGGCAGGTATTTCCTCTAGCCTGTGGCCATGCCAACAAGTTCACTGCTGCTCTTATGGGCTGCTTTAGCGGTGGTCCCCTCTTAATATCTCCTTGGTTTGGCCCCTGCAGCATGACTCCATGCCATCCTGGTGGAGCACAGGGAGAATAGTCCTCCATGTAACATAAAAGCCATCATGGTTTTGCTGCAAAAGCAAAAGAGAGGAGAGATTCTTTGATTTGCTCATGAGGAGCAGGCCACTAGCTCATTAGCAGCCAGGCTATAACTGACTTGGCTTTCCAAAGGCAGGCTTTAAAAGGCAGTGAAAGCCGGAAGAAGTGACTCATTTCTCTTGGATGTCCTTGCATCCGGCTGGCAGGCAAGGTGGCATCATTTGAACAGTCCCCCTCCTGGCCCAGGAGCCCTGTCACACCGAGAGGCACCATTGCTGGTGTGAGCCAAGGCTCAGCGTGCCCAGCACACCATGGTGAGTCCCTCACCTGGCACCAGCAGCAAGTGATGTGTCCAGAAGGGACAAGCCTGCGCCTCTGGCCAAGTCATAGAATCATCAAATAAGACTGGTTTGGGTTGGAATGGACCTTAAAGATCATCCAGTTCCAGCCCCCTACTATGTGCAGGGACATCTCTCACGAGACCAGGTTGCTCCAAGGCCCATCCAGCCTGGCCTTAAGCACTTCCAGGGATAAGGCATCCACAGCTTCTTTGGGCAGCCTGGGCCAGTGTCTCACCACCCTTGCAGCAAATTATTTCTTCCTCATGTCTAACCTAAATCTACCCTCTTCCAGTTTAAAGTCATCACCCCTTGTCCTATCACTACATTAAATCCTTTGCATGAAGCACAAGTCCTGTTGATGAGCACTGTTGCTGCCTGGGTTCATCTCACACCAGCCATGCCAACATGCCAGGGGAAGCAAGCAGCACTCTGCACTCGGGTATTTCCAGTGGCCCCAAAAAGCAGTTGTTCCCCGTTATCAGCTGGGAGATTTGAGCAATTTTTGAGGAGCACTAAGTCATCTGCTGCAGGCCACAGCAGGGGGCTCTTCTGCTTTTGGCCTTTCCCCCATTTTGAAGGCAAAACAAGTGCTTCCTCAGGAGGTTGTGCAACGGTGCCGTAGGGACATGCAGTCCATCCTGCTGTGCCGTGTCTAGTGCTGGTGGCCTGCACGTGCTTGCAGCGTGGGAGGTGGGTGAGCTGTCCTGTGGGGTCACCCCCAGCAGTCAGCACAGAAACGGCACCAAGGGAGGTGATGGAAAAATGGAAGTTGGGCTTTTTTGTGTGTTGCTGGAAAAAAAAAACAACAGCGGAAGAAGGGTAACTGCAAGGGTTATTTTGTGCGAGCAGCAGGTGGAGAATTGGTGTGATTTCAGGGTTTTGTGCAGGTCCAGCAAACAGGTCCTTTTTTTTTCCCTGGTAGGTCTGAATGAACCAGCACTGTTCAGCTGTGAGGCTCACAACAGTAAAGGCCTGACGGCCTCCAACCCGGGGCAGGTCAACGTGAAAGGTGAGCACCAACATTACCTGCTGACTACACATGTCCAAGCAGGAGCTCTCCTGATCTCTACCCTTCCCACCAATTCATTAGCTAAAGGAGATAATTGGATTTGGTAGATTTAGGTTAATAGTTGGTAGGGTTAGGTTATGGTTGGACTCAATCATCTCACAGGTCTTTTCCAACCAGAATGATTCTGCGATTAAAAACAAGCAGGATGCACACAGGACCATGGTCACTCTGTGTGGTTCTGTCATCCCAGTTTCACCGCTGTGGGAGGAAGCACCAAAAAGCACATTGGAAAGGAGAACTGTCAGCCTCAGAGCAGGCTTCGGAAGTGCTGCATCACTCTTTTCCTGCCTTCACAACCAGGGTGGTGCTCGCAATTTTCCATAGGAAATGATGGAAATTCTTCACATTCCTGACGGCAGCCACTATGGCAATGTGAGGAAGGTGTTCCCCAAAATATGTCATTGCTTCTAAGCAGCCCAGAGAGCTCACAAATATAGAACAGGGTTAAAATAGTCCTGCAAATGACCTTTTTTCCTGCTTCCCTGTCCAGTAGTTCTCTGACAGAGGAGGCCCCCATGGCAGTTACTGGGATTCACCCACAGTTTGACTGAGCCCCAGGAGCTCCCTGGGGAAAGCAGCCGTGCCATCTATGCTGAGAGTCAGCCCTCCAGGTGACTGCCCTTGTCTTTTCCCTGCAGGAATACCATCTGCACCCACCAGTGTGCATGTCCTGAACCAGACAGCCCACGGTATCCTGATATCCTGGGTGCCAGGCTTCGATGCGTTCTCTGCCTTGAGCAGCTGCAGTGTCCAGGTAACATCCATAACCTTGCTTTGCCTCTGCAATCCCCCCTCACACACATGCTCCTGGACAACCAGCAGAGTCCCTGGATTCTGGGAATGGCAGAGTCCTGCTGAGGTGGACAGAAGGCTTGGAATATGCTGCTGGAGAGCAACTTGGTGGTGTCTGCTCACACAGAGCAGCTTTGTTCTGCCCATGCGAGGGGAAGAGTTGGTGGAAGGGTTTTCAGGCAGGGAATGTGAAGCAGAGTGGTTGAGTGGGGGCAGAAATGAGGAGATGGGAACAGGGAAGCCACCTGCTTGGAACAGCCCATTCAGACTTGTGCCTCTTGAGTGTGCAAGAGTGAGGTCCAAGAATCTCTCTCCTCAGGCAAGACAGGTTATAGAATCATAGAATCATTAAGATTGGAAGGGGCCCTAAAGATCATCAAGTTCCACCCCCCCTGCCATGAGCAGGGAACCCTACCACTAGATCAGGTTGCTCAAAACCTCATCCAACTAGGCCTTAAAAACCTCCAGGGATGGGGCATCAGCAACCTCCCTGGGCAACCCATTCCAGTTCCTCACCACCCTCACAGTGAAGAATTTCTTCCTAATATCTAACTTAAATCGCCCCTCTCTCAGTTTAAAACCATTACTCCTTGTCCTATCACTATCTTCTCTGATGAAAAGCCCCTCCCCAGTTTTCCTGTAGGCTCCTGGGTGCGGCCATCCAGCCAATCTCTTATCCACTGAGTGTTCCATCTGTCAAATTCATGTTTTGTCAGTTTGGAGACATGGATGTCATGAGGGACAGTGTCAAACACCTTGTACCAATCCAGGTAGATGACGTCAGTTGCTCTGCCACCATCCACCATCTCGGTAGCCTTGTCATAGAAGGCCACCAGATTGGTCAGGCATGATTTACCTTTAGTGAAGGAACTGTGAAGGAGCTGAAGGGTAGTCTGTCTCCTAGTCAAGTCATGGAATGCCATCTTTAAACTGGAAGAGGTTGGATTTAGATGAGACATGAGGAAAAAATTATTCACTTTGAGGGTTGTGTGACACTGGCCCAGATTGCCCAGAGAAGCTGTGGATGCCCCATCGCTGGAAGTGTTCAAGGGCAGGTTGGATGGGGCTTGGAGCAGCCTGGTCTAGTGGGAGGTATCCCTGCCCATGGCAGGGGTTGGGACTGGATGATCTTTAAGGTCCCTTCCAACTCAAACCAGTCTGGGATTCAGGGATTCTGTGATCTCCATGGATACAGCCCTGCAAGTAGTTTCCACGTGCTCTTTCTGTTTAACATTGCTGGGTTTCACAACTCCAGCCCATTGCTTGCTTTCCTGAGGATCTGGTTTTTATACTGGCTAATCCATACTCTGGCTGAGATAACACATGGAGAGAGGCAATGTTTGAAGCCAGGTAAAAGTGAAAGCAGTCACAGGGAGAAAAGGTACTAGAGCTAATATTAGTACCCCATCCACTGCTGCTTTCCAGCGGGAGCTCAGGAAGTGGGGTGGAGAGCCAAGGAATTTCCTATGACTTAACGTTCAGGGTCTGTCAGTAGGAAATCGCCTTTCAAACTGGAAAACAAGACATGATTTCTGGCAAAAACACAGCAGTGACTAAGCCCTTTTGGTCCTGTCCTCTTTGATAATCCCCTCACTTGGGCAGCATGGCCCACCAAGTGACTCACTTCTGAGCTCACCGGGGCTTAAAAGGGAAGCTGTTGCTGTTTCAAGTTCAAACTGTTTAAGTTTGCAAAAAGCCTGAATAATTTATTATTTTTTTAAATAAATACATTTATCTGATGGACTCTCTCCAGAAGACAAGTTAAGGAACAAGATAGCTGAGCTGGGCTCGGTGCTCAGGAGAAGAGCTGGTCCTGGTGGTGCTTTCAGGAGTGTTTTGTGTGTTCACCTGGTCACTGCTCACCTCTCCCAAAGCATCCAGCAATGTGTGGCAACCTTCTCAGCTTTCTGAGGCTGAAGGCTGTTCTCTTTCATTTTTACTGGTGTTGGTGCTGAGACCATCCTGTGTACCCTGGACTACCCAGAGGGTGTGGTTGTTCCTCAACAAGTCTCCAGCCACCCCAAAACCAGAGAGGACTGTATGACTTTCTGCTAGTGGTTCATGCTGAAACATGTCCTGTGTGTTGTCTTCTGAGGTAACAGCCTCGCTTGTGCTGATGCCCTTTGTTTTTGCTCTTCCCTTTTTCCTCCCACTGCCTGTGCTTCCCCAAAATGGGATGTTTTCTGCAGAGGCAGCCACATGGGTGCTCACCAGCCAGCCCTTCAGCCCTAGAGGCTGGAGAAAGCAGTTTCTGTTAATGTAAAAAGAGTAGCTTAGGTTTGTTACACTGAATTAATCCATGCTGCTAAATGTAATGATGGAGTCTGATGAGGTCTGTGATTAGTCCTGCAACATCTAATGGCGATAAGCTCCGTAATCTAATGGCGTGTTGCATGAAAAATTGTTTTCTTCTGTCTGTTTGGGCCTCACTGCCTGGTAATATTATTAGGTGCTCCTTTTGCTCTGTGTCACAAGAAGCAGCCAATCATCCCTTCCTCCCCTTGCCACAGAGGTGGCAATTTCTCACATACCTCTGCCATGTTCCCACCACAACTCTTCTCCAGATATGTTGGAGCCCTTTCTGCTGGGCAGAGAGGAGCCAGCATGCAGGAGCAAGGCTCTGTTGGTGTTTTGGATGGCAAGCAGGGCTCTGGATCCTGTTTCCAGATATAAAATTCCT